CTCAGGTGGGTATACAGACTTTTTGCTAAATTGTGGGAGTTTAAATTTGTCATGTAATTTCCCCCCCGATTGTCAAGGGACTGAACAGTTGAATAAATCCATTGAATGCCTCCACTCTATCTGACCACGCTGCTCTTATTCATCATTATTTATTCATCCACAAACATTTAAACAACAGTCGAGTTACAGCTGCTTAAAAGCAGGGTTGGTCATTTTTGAAAACTAGCATGAAGTCCCTGTACTGTACATTTGCTTCATCAGCTCCACTTTCAGACTCCAGCTGCTGCCGTTCAGTTTGTTTCCAGTGAAGTGAAGACTGATGCGACAAAGGCTAACCAGAGATCAGCACAGACGCACCCGCTCCTCCCCTCCTCCTCCGGCTCCTGTTCATTGGATTACAGTTGATGACAAACAACATCAACAAACACTCAGTGGTTCCAGTAAGTGCTGCACTGAGGGTCAGGTTTAATGGAGGACTCCAAACAATCCAATTGGAACTGTCAAAACACATCGAACCCTCGTCGTTAACTTCCAGGGGCTTTAAGGAACAATCGCACACTTCAGTGTTTCTTTTCAGAGTCATGCTCGAGCCCTGCAAAGATTTTCACCCCAATGAATTACAACACATTTTACAGATTTATAACCTGGAATAAAATCTTATTATGGCTTTTAAGCATTTTGCAAAACCCGCCTGCAGACTAAAAAGTCGACAGCTGGTTAGTCAAGTTAGTTTTTATGTTCTTAAGCATTACAGGTAAAACCATCATTGTAGTCAAGATCACAAGAACTGAGACCAGAGTGCTCCAAGACCATGACATTTAGGGATAAAAGCCAAGACCCTAACTGTCACTGAAAAATCCTCATCTTGTGTGCAGCGGATCTGTCACTCACTTAGACCGTAACACCGGGAATGCTGCGGCTGTAACTGGGGGAAATTGTAAATTGGAAGCTATTTGTTCTTTTAGAAATAAGTGTTTTCCTTCTACTCACAGTGATCACATGGAAAAATAGCCTCTCAGTGGTGGTCTTAATTTTAAATCTGGAGTCCGCCCAGTATGAGGCTGAGACGAGACCGAGTACAACTGCTTTATGATTCTGAGACGAGACCTTCAAAAAGTGCTCTTGATCTTGATTGTGAGTACTAGAACATTATGACTTAAAATAAATAGTTTGTATGTAATTATTGTCTCAGACACGCATTTATACATCCAGCCTCCACGGCCTTACATGACACCGTGACCTTTGACCTTTCAGGATCAGAGTGCAGTGGAGTAGGTCAGTTCATTATCAAAGACCGGGAGAAGGAAAGCTAAAGTAAAATAAACACTAATAAAACCGACTATATTTACTGCTCACAGTGGTTAGTGTTGGTCCTTTACGTGTAACTGTATCAAATCTATTTGAATGGATCTGTACATTTTAAACATGACAAAGTGGGAGGGGAGGAAACACTTCTGAGTCGTGCAGAAATAAAACGATATTTTATGTGTGATAAAAAATGGTATAGTTATATTTTAAAAAAAGACTGGAAGATATGACTAAAACTTCTCATATCAGTTGATATTGATAATTATCACAATGAATATTAAATCATTTTTTCCAAATCTGATTTTTGCTCCTGAGTTAAGTTGAAGACACCAGATGGTTTATTGTGGTTTGATTATTCTTTTCTATCAGAACATGACAAACTCTACTCGAATACAGGAGAATTTCACCTTCATAAGCTCAGTGCACGTAGCTGGAAAAACCTCTGATGTGACAGTTTTGCTGCTGGGGAGTCACATATTACCGGACCGGTGCTTACTGAGGGACCACTGAGGGTGAAGGTCTAAGTCTCGTTTGTTTAGTCATTTCTTCGGTGTGGTCTAAGGGGTCATTTTGTTTCAACCGGTGGAAAAAGGTTTGTGGTGTTGACTGTTGTAGCCTCACATCATGTCATCGGGTGTAATTAAAGGTTCGAATCCATCAAACGTGAGTTATGTTTATAGTGAGAAAAATTAAAAAAATATCGCGATAGTTCGTTATCATTTTATCGCCCAGGCCTGTTAACACTGTTAAACAAAAGAAAAGAAGCATAATGACAGAATTGGGTGTAACTTTTTACAGTTTTGTATTTTTTTTAATGAAGTGATTTTAAAGAGAAAGCTGGACTCGTTATGAACAAACAAATTAGTCATATATGTTGAAATAAAAAGAAAATAGAGAATAGCTTTGGTTCAGTGGGAAATTAAATATTAGGATTATTGTTTTTAGGTCAACAACAGGAGAGCATTTTCTGTCTCTGGAGGAAACAACACTTTCATTTCAAGCCTCGAAAATCTTTGAGGTTTTCCTCCTTTACATGATGTCGAGATACAAATCAACACTTGATTTTTCGCCTTTCAGTTAAAGATCAGGATATTTGTCATTAATAATTTACAAAGCTCATTATTCTCATCTCTCTCTTAACAAGTCAAAGCCTACCTCCTAGTTTTCTGTACTTTCAAAACAGACGCCATCAAAGTCCATCAACACCTCTCAGATTTCCCCTAAAGAGGAGTTGGAACTCCCGAGTGGGATCAGGACGCCCCCGGACCCCGGCCTCAGGAGCCCGACGGCTCCTGCTCTCCGCTCTCTGAATAAACACTCTGCCCCGCGGCCTGCGCTCTCTGTGCCTCCCCCCCCCCCCCAACCCCTCTGACAGACCAAAGGCCTCTTTATAAAAAAATCCCTGTGTAACTTTTTAATTATTTAATAGAGATTTTACATTTATAAGAATTTTGGAAATAACATTTTTTTTTTATTTTGCTGAAGAGAAATCTCTGCCAGATAGTTTGCTGTTTGAGCTACTTCTGATAATAATAATTATCAACTCATCTCATTAATAGACTTTAATTTAAACATTTTCAAACTGTCTTTGCGTTTCATTTAGCCTAATTCAATTATTCAGTTTGAGGAGAATTTGCACTTATCAAATCAGTCTCACAGGGTCAACAACTGTTAAAGAGCTACAACGTCTTTCCTGTTTGCAAGTGTCAAGCTCTGAGATTCACAGATAAGTGTGTGTGTGTGTGTGTGTGTGTGTGTGTGTGTGTGTGTGTGTGTGTGTGTGTGAGAGTGAATCGGGCACATATGCAGGAAAAGACGCTCCGTAAAAAATCTGTCCCACGGCAGCATGACTGACGTGTTTTTAAACCGCGCGAGGCAGGAAGGAAGAAATTCAAATTAAAAGAAAATATATATAGAAACTTCAAAAAACTTCCTCTGAGATGTCATCCACACCCGGAGACGAATGAAGGGACCAAAAAAAAAACTAATTTAAAGAGTGATATTAAGTTGGAACAAAGATGTTAAACCTTTAAAAATCGAACAGATAAATGATCCTATAATATCTTCGGTCAGAATTTAAAATATTTCTGAGGCATTTTCAGCCACTTTTAAACTCCACACAAACACATGAACAGATTCTAGAGAGAGGGAGAAGAAAAACCGCAAAAGAAAACTACTTTCAAAATCTGTCTGAAAAGTTATTTCAGACAATCCAAGTCGTCCCCATAGAAACACTAAGGCTACATATTATAGGTCTAATGCCTTTGAAGGATTTCTCCTTGGGCTGCAGCCAGGGAAGAAACCCAAACACTTCAATATTTAGAGAAAGTTCCGCAGGGGCTTCTGCACATGTCAGTCTGTTAAATACATTTTCCTTTCAGCCGCCTCTGAATGAAATTAATCTAAAAAGTTCACGCTGCCGCAATAAACATCCAGCCGGTGTGTTGAAAGCTCGCTGCGCCTCGGTGTTGATTCCAAAAAGAGAAAAAGGAGAGAAGAGTTAGAGATAGGAGCCCTCAATTATCTGCCCGGTGTTATAACCTACCATCGTGATTATCAGCTAAGCAAACAATCAGCCCCCCAATCCACAGCGGCGGCCTCTAAAGGAACCACCTGATCGAATTAAGTCGTTGGAAAGTGTGAAAAGTTCACACGTTACCTGCGCGCGCGCACCCTGGGCTGTATAACCTGCAGCTGGAGAGTGAGAGGTGTGCGCGTCAAATTAGAGGCCATTCACTAAAAGTTCACAGTTTGCTCCAAGTGTCAATGTGTTCCCTTTCAATTAGGACTCTGAAGGCCCTTTAGTGCATCTTAAAATAATGTTGAATAAGAGGACAATGCGCGAGGCCGAGCGATGTCGATAATACTGATTTTGATTATTCCTTAAATGTGGAACAATGCATGGTGACTTTTTTTTAAAAGTAAACAGAACATGTGAATTTCCCTCCATTTCATGTGACTATATGATTTAAAATATACACAATATTCTGTTGTATTAGATTTGAATTAAACTGTATAGTTTTAAAGTTTAAATTAGGAGTGAAATCTAATATATTCGATAGTTTCTCTTTATGTGTCTCAGCCCTTCAAAGAAGATTTATCCGCTAGTGGGCGCTCGTGTCTTTCGGAAAAACTTGACCTGCACTGTATTGCACTCAATGGAGCCACATGCAGCTCTGTGGCTCTGTGACTATACAGCCCTGTGTGTGAGCAAATGTCCCCCCGATGGTTTTAATATGTGTGTGTGTGTGTGTGTGTGGGGGGGGGTTTACAGAAATCAAAAACACGCGAGAAGTCATCGTTATTATCTGTGGGTGAGGGATAAAAATTGTGGTTTTTTTATATAAAGTTTTTTGTTAAAGTTACAAAAGCTTATTTTACATGAAGAGGAATCCCTCATTGTTTGTGTAATTAGACAAAGTAAATCATCAGTAAAGCATTTAATTCTATTATTTATTTTATTATTTAGTGTAATTTAGTATTTTTTTCCTCCACCTGCTTATTGAATAAAAACGGGATTCGTGCGTAATTCCTCCCAGTTCGCTCACCACGAGTCACCACTGAACCAGTTGCCCTTCTTGACTGACAGCAGATCTCCTACTGACTAGGGACCAATCAGCTGCGGCCGGGGGCGGAGCCTGGGCAAAACAAGCCTTACCAAATAGTCGCGGTCCCTTGCAGTTACTTTCCATCCAGGTTTCGGAGCAGCGTTGAGGCATCATCCCTATACGCTGTGTGCGGGACGGATCTCTGGGAGCCAGCCGCAGCGCCTGCATTGTTTTGGGGACCTCTACTAGTATGAGAACTTCCATTCCAGCTCCTTTGATTTCTTTCATTCTCATATTTTATCATTTTCTTGATTTTGACCATCCGACCTCATTGTTTCGCCCCTCTCATTTTTCTGCTGCTGTCACCCACAGTTTGTTGCTCACCACCAGCTGAAAGGGGAATATCTCACCATTCCACCACCAGCCATCTCTGTGCTTTTCTCTGCTGCTGCTGCTGCTGCTGCTGCTGATCTGGATTTTGGCTGCACTGCTGGACTATCACGCAGGGGATTTATATTTGTATTGATTTCCATCTGCCGCCCGCTCCGCCTCGGACACCGCCACTTTTTTCTCTCTGAGGGATGTATAACAGCGGGTTGAATCCTGCGCTCTGAACACGGGAGAATATCCACGCACTGTCTGCTGAATGAACTGCTGCTGTGCGCCCTTGGTTTTTGGAGCAGGTCTCTCTTCTGGAGATGCTCTCGTGCGTCTGACCGGGGTTTGTGGTCCGTGCGTATCCCCTCTGGATCGGGATATAAGGTGAAGCAGTTGCCGCGGAACGCTTGTCCTTTATTTTTGTGGACATATTTTTTTTTTATTTGGAGGAGGATTGAGCACCGACCCGGAGGCGCGCAGGCTGCACCATGGGGGACTCGATGTGGAGATATTATTTCGGAGTTTTGTTTATTGCCTTCAAAGTGGACCTGTGCCGGGCGCTCATCCTGGAGTCCATCTACTGGAACACAACAAATACCAAGTAAGTGGAGCACACAAGCCGCGCTGATTACTGGCCCCCGTAGCGCAGTGTACGCTCTCCCGTGTGGAGACGGACTCATGCCAGACTCCGTAGAAAAATCAGCCACTTTAATGTTGCTTTGCTCGCCGCCTCAGGCTTGTGTGTGTAAAATAACCGAAGCTGAGATGAATGCGTATTTTAGAAACAGCTCTTCAGTCCAGCATACATTTTCTGGAACAAAGAGTTGGTGCAGTTGCGTGGTTTGAAATTTAAATCCATCCTCGCCTGCTCATCTCATCTAAATAAAAACAGTCTTGTTCATCTTTGGTTTGCCGAATTTCCCAGAGTACATTATTTAAAATCCTACATACCCGCTCACCCGTCACACACACACACACACACACCATTTAGGCACACACTCAGTGTTTATTCCTGTAAGCAGCCACATAGGATCATACAAAAATAATGGAGACATCATCCAAACATGTGTCAAGAATCAGAAAACTGTATCGCTGCTCGTTGTTTTAGTGCATAACTGATTGATTTGCTGTTCGTGTGCGTCGCCGTTGGGGAATACGTAGCATGTGCGCGCAGTGGACGGCGAGGCCCCGCTCGGCCGTGCGTTCTGGTGCCACTCAACATTACAAACCCGCCTCACAAGGAGACTGCACGGCAGTTTGAGCAATTAACTGTTTATTTGTTATTTATTGTTTATTTCTGTAGTTTTTTTTGGAATAATGGCCCATCGTGTTTGAGCGCTCTAAAATTGATTTTTAAGGTGACTTTCCGCTTCGCCTCCTCCCTCAATAATAACTTGGAGCGGGCGTCTCATAAATCACACCGGGCTGTAACAGGTCTGGTAAAAATAGCAGAGCTTTGAAGCCGTTTTGAGCTCATTAGCATTCCCTTTCATTCCCTCACAGTTGTGTTTGTAGAGGATCAAATATTATTGGATGTTATTTTTATCCTCCCTTCTGATGGTTGTATTAATGAGAGGAATTGAAGAGAAAATGGAAACATGACGAGCTAGGCGGAGGCTTCATGGAGCTGCTGCTGGGACGCTCCCGCTCCGGGCCTCTGATGCTCTGCTCGGCTCCCAACACTTTGTGTGCAAATAATTAAATAACCAAGCAAACAATGAGCTCATTTGAGGGCAGATTAGGCTGGGAATATTGTTTGTGAGATGAAAACATTGAGTAAATCCGCCTCTCTCCAACCATGTTGTGCCCCTGGATGTAGAAGCGGATATGTACATTTCAGTCCTTTGCGGTTTGAGCGCCGGTGGGTGATTATGAAGAAATCAGGCGCTCACACGGGCCCCTCGAAGATGTTTTTCTCCCTTTCCTGCCTTTTTGAGTATCCCTTCCACCCATTCAAGATCATCGACTCCCTCCACTCGCCTCCTGAATATTTCAACAGGCCAAGAAAGGCGGTTGAACTCTTTTTTTTTTCTGCTGATAAAAAGGTGTCTTTCTCCTCCTCGACACCCTGCTCTCAGCCCGGCGGGGGGCGCCCCTCTTTGTGGCCGTTTCGTCACGGCCAAACTCTCAACTCGCTCAATAATTCCGCTTTTGGCTCTGGTACAGGCAGAAAGCCCCTCTTTGAAGCCCGTTTTTTTTCTTTCCCCACCCTGAATGTCTCACAATGGAGACGTTATGATGGTCTAACAGGTGTCTATTGTTGTGTCGTTTAACTGCTGGAAATGAGCGTTAACTTGTGGCGTGCGTACCCGTGCGCGCTCACGCATTGTTTGTCTGTTGTGTCACGTAATTGAGGATATGTGGAAGGAGGATTTGCTGCGTTTGGGTGCAGGACAGAGCTCTGGGTGTCTGCATGCAGCACGCTCGGCCTTCTAGCCTCTTGACTGTCACGACCATCTGTGTGCTGACGCGCTCATTCACGGTTTGAACTCGTTTAAAGACACTAAAAACGACAATTTTAAGGTGAATTTCTGCTGAGGTGGCTCTAAGCGCACCTATACTCCAGGCCAAATGTCTGTGTGTCACACATAGCCGATATGTTGTGAGTTGATATGTTAATGTCACTGAGTATTCAGTGCCATTTGATCACCATTTGGCCTGAATAGAATCCCCGTGAAGACAAAACAAAGCCGATTTGGTTGAAGCAGAAAACCTTTGCTTGAGTCTGATGTGCATGGAGATTTCTTTTAGCTTTGACAGCAAACATAAACATAAACATAAACACTGCTGAGAATATTTTCTTTTTCATAATATCATGCTATGTATAGACATAGTTGAGTTTGCTTCCAGGCAGAGCTCTCCTGCTATATAAGGATCAAACCCAACAAGTCATTTCTTTCATTTGCTTTTAAAAAAAAAAAAATACCTTTCTCACAGAGCCAGAGCATGAAACCTCTTCCATTTTAGAACTGCACCCAAATTAGTATGTCATTCCACTTGGCGTGTCAGTTTTGATTTTGGGGGAAGAAACAAAGAAAGGGAAGAAAGTGCGTCCCTCGGAGCAAATATAGGCCTCGGGGCTGCCACAAATGCAGCGGGCATTCCGGTGGAATTAGCATTGTGTGCATGTGTGCATTCTTTGCGTTCTGTCTGGGTGAGAAGTTCAGAGGTAAAAGGCCACAGAGTGATATCATTGTGTGAGCAGACGCCTCTTTCTTTGCAGGTATTAAAAAAACAACAACAACCTTTTGTGCCTCCCTCTCGCCTCCTTTTTTTTAACGAGCTGAGAAAGAACAATAAATTCAGTTTGTAGTTCAAGTTGTGGCTGAAATAAATCTTTCTTAGAAACTTTAAAAATAGTTTGGACATTTCACATGAAGTCCTCTGACTCCAGCGCTCTTTGTTCTCTTTAGTTTTTTCCATTACGGGGGCAGGAGATGTTGATGACAAACTTTGAGACCAGGATGGAAAATGTTCCTCTCATTTTTCACACATTTCAGCTCCGATAAATGACTTGTCTCTTGAATGTCGGCTGAATAAACGACACACAAACTTTTTTTATCATTCCTTTTCACAGCTTGTTGACAGTCCTCGTGGTGCCTTGTGTGTGTGTGTGTGTGTGTGTGTGTGTGTGTTTGTGTGTGAGAGAGCCAGTTATTCCTCCTCGCTAGCAGAAAGAGAACCCCAAAGCGTGAATATCTTTATTCAGCAGGTCAGCAATATGCTCCACAGCCCGAGTCGTCCCTGCCTCTCTGTCTCTCTGCTAGTTTGTGTTCGTCCTCCTCTTTGACTATTCAAGGAAGGATGAATGTTAGAAATGTGAAGGCTGCGGGCCAGTCTAATGCCTTTGTGTGTATAGGCCGGGGGAGAGGATAAAGAAACACTCAGTGTGTGTGTGTTTGCAGTGTGTGCATCTAGAAAAAAAAAGAAGAGAAAAATCCCTGTGCAGGGCCCACGGCTGTGTCGATTAAACCTCATTGTTGTTTGCGCTTTACTACTCTACTGCCCTTATGCATGAACCTCTGAGGAGAAAAAACAAGAGAATGACCCCACCACCTCGCCCTCTTTCCTCCCCCTGATCGCCCAACACACACACACACACACACACACACACACATCACAACACACACACCTCCTTCTTCTGGTAATCCATTTTGTAGTTGGGAGGGAGAAACAAAAGCGAGGCCTGCTTTACATGGTTTATGTAAAAGGAGCGCTGCCTCTCCTCCACTGCAGTTCATTAAGAGATTACATAGAAGCCCAAAGACCCTTTGTGACCGGGCAGCGACGGGGGCACCTCTGTGGGTCCTTTTGTGAACATGGGGGGGGGGGGGGTTAGAGAGAGAGAGAGGGAAGGAGGTGGAGGAGGGTGGGGAGGGCGTGCATAGAGATGCAGCTCCATCATGAATGACTGACGAGGCCTTGTGCTGTAACGATGCCCTCCCCTCCTCTTCCTCCAGCTATCCCTCCTTTTCCTGAACCCCCTGCGGAGCCTCTAATTTTCTTTTCTTCCTTTTCTTTTCTTCAGCTGACAGAAAGAGAGAGACAGAGAGAGAAAGAGAGAGAGAGAAAGAGAGAGAGAAAGATCAGTTGTTTTAATTTAGTTACATCGACCGACAGCTCAGGCAGAAAGTGAAATCCTGCCATGTTGGACTGTGAGCTCACCCTGCCGGGGTTATGGAGGTTGACGTGGCTTTTTAATGATCAGAAAAGTTGATGATTAAGATTGTGTGCGAGTGAAAGAATAGGAGGGAAGAAACGATAGAAATGAATCAGGGAGCGAGAGAAGAAAGCGTGGGGGCCCCTTGGGGGAAGGAGGGTAATTATGTCTAGGCCGGCTCAGATCCCACAGGCCTGGATTACTGGATGAAAGGTGGGCCGAAGGCAGACAGAACCGGAGAGGACGAGAGGGGGGATAGGGTGACACTCAGCGTAAAGACATCCGTCCCCTCCGTCTCCCTCGGCCGACAGAGGGCAAAAGCCGAGGCGCGGAGATGAATTGCAGTGGATTAACCCTCACTATGCCTCGGCTTGGCCTCTTTGTCTGCCGCCTTAATGAATCCGTGCGTTGCAGCTGGGATTCAGAGTCAAACAGTTGCTCTTGATGGGCAGTAAATATTCAGCCTCCTCTCGGCTCACTTTGTGTTCCTATAACTTCAGGGCCATAGGAAGAGAACAAGGGTGGGGGGGGGAGATTTACACCCGGGATCTGCTTTGTATCTACACGGAGGCTTTGGGGTGACGTGGAGATGTGGAGGGACCAAAAGACGCAGAAAAGTTTGAGAGATTTAACATGTTTTTTTTCCTTCTTTTTACTGGCGACAGATGCAGCGGTCGTAACCTCTCAGGAAGTAGATCCACAGTCCTCCTCCTCCTCCTTTGGCTCCTTTTGCCCCAAACGTTTCCTCTCTCCTCCCCCAAACACACACACTCACACACACACACACACACACACACACACACACACTAAGAGAGACACCAAACTTAAAGGTGAAGAAAGCTGGTTAGAAGATAAACGAGAAGAGCAGATGTCCGGTGGTAAACTTTCAAGTCTGCAGGATTCACCCTGAGTGTCACCCACCTGTGCGTCCCATCAGCTCAGTTTGTCACTTTCGCCTGGTCGGAAACTGAAGATTTAGCACATACAACTTTGAAAGGGCTCAGATTTAGCAGCACTGAACATCATCTCGGACAGAAGTCCCCACTTTTAAAAAGCAGGAAACTGCAGCTGTCCGTTTCTACCCTCTCTTCTTCTTCTTCTTCTTCTTCTTCTTCTTCTTCTTCTTCTTCTTCTTCACTTTATAAACACTTTTTATTTATTTATTTCTCTCCTGACCCAGATGTGGAGATGTTGAGGAAAGAGTTTAGCACCTGTGGTCGTTCTCACCCTCACACACACACACACTCACAGGAGAGAAACAGGGGTGGGGGGGGGCATCACAGCTCGGCCCTGTAAACTCTTCCTCTGGTTTTTGGTCTTTCGTCACAGTTTTTGGTGTTTTGTTTAGCGGAGAGATAAACAGAGAGATGAGAGGAGGAAGAAAAGAGGAGTGCTACTGTAACTGCAGCTGCTTCCTTCAGTCCTGTGCTGCTTTAATCTGCAGAGTCACTGACTCGGCCTTCAGCTTAGGAGAGGACAAAACGGTGCAAGAGGAGAGCAAGTAATCGAATAATTGTTGAGCTTGTAAAACAAAGTCTAGAGTGACGTCTCAAAGTTTCATCTCACACAAAATATGAATGTTGTTTGAAATCCTTAAAAAGTCATATTTAAAAGATTTCATCTTGGAAAACAGATTTCCGTTCAGAGACAATCAACATGTCGATTCATCCACAATCAGCTTCGTCTCTGTGCTGTGGTACAACCAAGCTCTTACCTTTTACAGCTTTGTAAACATTCGTAATGCAACTCTACGTTTCTTAAAGGCTCGTTAAGTCCGATAAGAAAGTGTAACTCCTGTTCTTGATGAGGAATAACCTGTTTCATCGTGTTTGTTCTCAACATGTTTGTGTGCACTAAATATTCTCCCTCCCCCTCAGTCCGCTTTAGTCGGTTTATGAAGCGGATATTTCACTTTTTAAAACCTAAAGAAGACTTTATGAAACATCAGGATGTGTCAGCTGTTTAGAGAAATCAAATATTAAATATATATTCAGTATATTTTCATGTGCATGTAACTTCTCCTGGTCTCCCCCAGGACTCGATCGTGGCTGTTAAGAGGTTAATTCTCTTTAATGAGTCAAACGTGTAGCTTACAAACGACTCAAAGTGAATTAATCCAACTCATTTATTCTTCTCTCCACTCTTCCATTTTGATTCATCAGCCTTTGATGCTTTTAGCGTCCAGACGAGCAGCAGCCCTCGGTGATAAACGGCTCTCTGCTCTTTGCTGCTGCAGGAATATTTATGGTGCGGGGAGTCGTCTTCCTAAAGAAGAAGGAGGCTTTTATTTTGAGGAAGAGGAGGGGAGGGGTGAAGGGCCAAGTGTGCCTTTAAGCAGGGTGGGGGGCCCGGTGGAGGAGGAGGAGGGTAAGGGGGGGGGGGGGAGGTCAAACACATTTACAATCATGAGACGGCAGGGCAGGCTTCTATTTGTTGTGCGCCACTCCCTCTCTCTCTCTGTGTCTTTATTCGACCTGTCTGTCCGTGTTGTAGCTGCATCCTCCACACATGTACCCATCAACCAATCACACAGCGGGGAGCAAAATCAAGTCCGACTCCTCTCTCCTTCGTCTTGTGTCTTTTTTTTCAAAGACACAAACCAGAATAAGTCATATTTAGCCGTAATCAGCCCCTTGGCAGCTCCTCGATAAACCCACACTGAAACCACACTTTTATCCTCCTCTGTCAGAGTTATTGAATGCTTTCATTATGCGGCACTTTGCTCTAAATCAGCTGGCTCGAACACAACAGTGGAATGGAGAGGATGGTGTTTTTTTGGGTTTTTTTTTTTGCCCCTGGCTAAGGCAGATCTCATGTTTGAATCGTAAAGAGAGTGAAAGAGCAGAAAGCCGACGCCATGATCCCAGATATCGTACTCAGACAGGAGAGACTCAGAGAGCAGGCCCACACAGACGCTGTGACCGAACGAGACGGACACATGAGGAGGGTATTTCTTTTAGCTCTGGCATATCTGTGTGTGTGTGTGTGTGTGTGTGTGTGTGTGTGTGTGTGTGTGTGTGTGTGTGTGTGTGTGTGTGTTCTCCATCTGTGTAGGTTCAGTCTAACGATCTCCTGCTTTTTCGCCCACCCTCTGTGCAGATAGCGTTCGTGCTATCAGAGAGGGAGTTCAGACGCTCTTGTTTTTATGGAGGTGGTGATCAGAAAAGAATAAAAGAATCTACCAGTAGATCCTGCGTGCTCATTGGCCTGCATGTATGTGCCGAGAGCCGGGCTGTGATGTCACATTTTGACTTCTGTATTGCTTTGGGTTCAATCTTCAGACCTTTCTTCTCTCATCGATGTTAAAAACAAGAATCCCGTCAAACTGCAACAAGGTGGATCTGTTCTATGCAGATCTGCTGTTCACCTCTTTGTTCCGTCATCCTGTGAGATCTACTGAAGCATTTCTAGATTCACCTCCGTAGATGAATAAGAGCCACCACAAGCTCTGCTACAGCCACACACACACTAATGCACCGACACACCGACACACACCGACACCGACACCGACACACACACACACACACACACACACACACACACACACACACACACACACACACACACACACACACATACACTTATCAGTACACGCATGCCTGCTTTCACCCCTGTGTAAACACACATGCTCACCACATCCACGCATGAGTGGATCCATCCAACCATGCTGACACACGCACACACACACACACACACAGGGTTAATGCATAGACATACCATACACCACATTATCACCCCCCCCCCTTTATGCACACAAACACACAGATGTGATACAGAATGCAAAGACATACATTCTCTCTCCCTCTCTCTCTCGCCCTGTGTCACTGGACACACTGTGCGGCTGAGTGTGTCCTCAGGGGGAGGAAGAAATATTCGCTCGGCCTAGTTAGCCGCCACGTGTGCGTGTGTGTTCTTGTGCGCGTGTTTGTGTGTGTGTGTGTGTGCGCATGTGCTTTCCTGTGCACATGCTCTGCCCTGAGCGCTGAAGATGATGCACGCTGTGAGAGGACGAAGAGAAATAATGTATGTGTCTGTTTCTGTATGTTTGAGCGACAGCAGAGAGGAAGAGCAAATACAGTTTCTGTGAGAGCGAGCGGGCCTCCATGTTTATAAATATGAAACTCATTATGCTCCCCCTGCTATTTCATTTAGCACTCTTTGTTAATTATGAATCGACTGTGCCTCCTCGACCGTCGCTCCCCTGTGTGCAGGCTCCCCTGCTGCCCCGCGTTGCTGCTCCTTGTAGTCAGGAGGAAACAATAAAGTCGAAAGCTTTACGCTGCGTTCAGTCGTCACTGTGACAGCACAGAGCTGAGGATGTGCGCTGTGCCTTCTTCCAGGAAGTAGGATCAAAGGTCACGTTCAGATGCTCGGCCTGCAGAGACTTCTAGTAAGTGTTTTATACAAATGTATGGTCGGTTAGGGTCAAAGTTCATCCACGTTTTGAATCATCTTTGGATATGAATTATCGCAGCATTCGTAGGAGAAGAATCAGCTCATAGTGATGAACGCAAGGAAGTTAAATGCATCAAGTGCTTCACATAAAAAAAGACAAAATGAAGATTAAAAGAGGAATAAATATTCAAATAATATAAAAGCTGAAATATGATGAAAATAAAGGATTAATAGCAACAGTTGGTTTAATTCAATGTCTCATTGTTTAAACGTGTAAACAGAAGGTTTTTGGATTCATGCCAAGAAGAACAACCTGCTTACTAATTAAAAATAAATCTCCTGCTTTAAACTCAGACTGGAACCTGCAGCTGACCTCGACTGTAAATAAATCTTCAGAATATAAGATCTATGAATCCATTAATCGTCTGGTTGCTTCTTCAAACATCTTCAGTTGGACATCATCAGAAGTTTGATTTCATCTCTGAGTGCATCCGATCGCTGACACATTAAGACAATAATAAGGATGAAATCCTCACCATCAACGTTTGGTATTAATGCTTAAAAAACGTCTTGTACCATTAACCGATCATCCAACTCGTTTATGGATAATCACTTAGAACACACCTACTGGAGCTTCAGCTGTGTGTGTGTGTGTGTTTGTGTGTGTGTGCCATGCTGCAGGGGGATCACACTTCTTGGAGACTAAATGGCAACATTATTTTACTTTCAGAAAGAAATTAGGGAAATTGAACCCTCCTCCCCCCCCTCGACAAATCCCCTCCAGCTCTGTGCGTGTCTCTGCGGCTCTTCCTGTTGTCGCTCACTCTTTTGTTATTGTTTCTTTTACATTCTGTTTTGTATGCCGTCGTCGTTCTGCCGTTTTTCCCACTCGCATCCGGGAGGAGCACCGCATTCTCCTCATCTATCCCGTTAATTATTCTCCCTCTCTGCGACGCTGGAGAAAAAACAGCTCGGAGATTTCCTCGTCAGATATGGGGGTCACTTTGCACCGCACATCCATCACACACATCACACATTCCACCATTATCCGCCATCATCTAAAATTAATGAACACAATCAGTAATTACCACATCAATAATTAAGCCGACGTCTCTTTTTTTTGGTGAGATATAGAGAGCTGGATGGCAAACACTCCAATCTGAAATGCATAATGAATGACTCCTCATCACTTCTCTGCAGCTGGCTCATTTCTTTCTTCTCCTTTCAGATTCGTGCCAGGCCAAGGCGTGGTTTTGTACCCCCAGATCGGGGATAAGTTGGACATTGTGTGCCCCCGCGTGGACGGCGGGGTGGCCGACGGTGTGGAGTATTACAAGGTGTACATGGTGCCCAGGGAGCAGCTGGAGAGCTGCACCATCACCAAGGCCGACACGCCGCTCCTCAACTGTGTCAAACCCGACCAGGACGTCAAGTTCACCCTGAAGTTTCAGGAGTTCAGCCCCAATCTGTGGGGCCTGGAGTTCTTCAGAGGGAAGGACTACTACATCATCTGTAAGTACACGTCTCTCCCTGAAGGCGTCATAAATTAGGTGGTGCATAATTTAAGGGGGAAAGCGGCCTTTTAAACAGTCAGGCGAGGTTGAAGCACCAGCTGTTGGTGACATGTGTCAAGGCTCAGGGTCAGGTTTTTTGTGCATTTTTCCTTGAAGACTAATTCCTGTATTTTTTTTTAAACCTTGGCAATATTTCAGAGTGGAAATGACTTAAACATACAGAAGTTTTGTAATTGATTCTGTACGCAGCTTCAGCCTGCAGCAGTGAAACAGGCTGGACCGGCTGCAATATAATCCCTGAGGGCAAACAAGCGTGATCAAAGAAGGTCATGGAAAAGTCATGTTTGTCTCTGACAGGCTCAGATTGTTATTCTCAGAGTCTGACAACATTACAGAACAGATCCCGACAGAGAGAGAGAGAGAGAGAGAGAGAGAGAGAGAGAGAGAGAGAGAGAGAGAGAGAGAGAGAGAGAGAGAGAGAGAGAGAGAGAGAGCGAGCTTTGTCGAAACGTAGGAAACTTGTTTTGCATCACTCCTTTCGAAACCACCGAACTCCATCGACAAAAACACGATTTTCTAGCTCACAGACAACGGGAGATACTGGTTTACATCTGCCTTCAAAAACTAACTCACATGCAGTAAAGCGTCTTACCAAGGCAGAGGTAGACCATCAACTCCTGCGCTCTGTGAGCTAAAATGAAATTGTTTCTGTCCGTACAGTCTGGTGTTTCTGGTTATTAAAACAGGATATGACTCTTTTACAAAAGGTCTTAATCTATAAAATCCTCTCTCTGTATTGTTGACGAGCCTGTTGGTGGAAAAACAGTTGAACACAAGTTCATAAACTCTCGCTCCGTGCTGTAAATCGACGTGTATGGTGGTCAGGACGTATCGGAAATAAAGTGACGCAGACGAGGCTGAGGTTGAAGACGAGGGTAGAGCTGCTTCCTCTGTAGAGAACTTTCTACTTTCTGAGTACTAATTGAGGTCATCCAGAGGATCCCAGAGATTCTGCAGATATATGAGTAAATAATTTAGGTTCATTTGAAGTTACGCTGGAAGCCCGTTCACAGGAAACGCTGGTGTTTTCAGATATTCTGCTTAGGAGATTTACTTTATGTATAAACTGCAACCTCGAGCAAGATCCAGATGGGAAACTGAACTTTGCAGATCCCTCATCCGTCACAAATCAATCTCTTTGATGGTAACATGCTGAAGGGTCTTCATCTCTGAGGCTCTAAGCGGCGCACGCTCTTCACTGTCACTCGCCATCGTTCCGGCGTCGAAGTGAGTCAGCATCCCGTCTGACGGGAAAAGGTGTGGCCCTCTCCGCTGTTCTGAATCCCTGTGATGTACTCATGTGATGTACCCATGGCGTCCTGGGAGGAAGTAGTGATGGGGTTTAGCGACGGCCCCCTGGTTTGAGTACACGGGAGGTGGACTGAACCATCTGTGTGGCGCTGATGGGGGGGTGCTCTGCAGATAGGACCATCTGTGAGGCTCTGCCACCGCCATCTGTGAGCTGTCACACTGAGTGGAGGGCCATGTTTCTGACTGAGGAGAAGGAAGGGGAAGAAAGGAGAGGAGGAAAGAGGAACCCTGATTCTAATGCAAACCCTGCACTATAAAAGAGGAAGTTTGATTTATGCAAAACAAATGTGCAACATGCTGCAGCGGACGCTTCAAACTGCTTCCTGTAGATGTATTTAAATATGACTTGGAGCTCCACGGAGCTCAGGAGTCCTGCAGAGAGATCAGTCAAGCAGCTGGTTGGAAAAAAAAACACACACAAAAAAAAAAACAGGTTCACCAACACAATATGTTCATTGAGCTCGGCTTCAGGTGGTTTAAACCAAACAGTAACAGCGGCTGAACTGTCACTGATGCGTCGTAGCTGCAGGATATTTGCATGGCGGGGCACGTCTCGCTGTGTGAACGTCTAACAGGTGCTAAAGTGGTCCTGCAGGTGACACATGGACTTAGGAAGACACCGTATGGTGGAGCAATTAGAGCCGCTTCAAAGCGAGCGATTACTCTTTGGAGAAACTTCTAAAAATGAACCAGTGATATGACGTGTTTGAGACTGACACTGATATTTATGGCTGCAAAAGTCTCATAGATGAAGATGTTTTTGTGCACTGATGTTTGATAAATAACTTCATCATCCTTTTGAAAGGAGACGTCAGATCACGATAAATAGATTTAAATAAGATAAATTATACACTGTCTGCTAAATCTAATGTTGAGTGTCATGTATACAAAGCTCTCGGCGATGACACCGTTTCTGAATCACCGAGGGCTTCGTTTAGTAGACTGAATATTCTGTAAAAAGATGTTCAGACCGCAAAACGTTCATTTCAGAAGCAGACAAAGTAAACATGGATACCTGACAGGGCTGCATGCACACACACACACACACACACACACACACACACACACAGACACACACACACACACACACAAATCCACCTGTGCAAGCATTCTGGTGTCTGATCATCCACACCCTGTGCACAGCCGCTTTAGATGTGGTCTGTGTGAGTGTGCTCAGAGACTACAAAGGCTTCAGACTGAAGAGACGCAGACACCATCACCCCCCCCCCCCTCCTTCTCTGCTGCCTCCACCCAAACTGCTGCAGTTAATTATTGATGAGCCGATGCTGCTGTTTACTTATCGCTGATCTCCCAGAGCTCCGAGTCCTGCAGCTCCATCTGATCACAATCGGAGAGAGAAACAGAATCCAACCTCTGAACTCTGCGAAAGAAGTGAATCCAGCAGTGCATACGTTGGTATTTATTTACTTATGTTCACGTAATGTTTTAGATTATTTTTTTGTATTTCACTTCCCGGGAATCTGTGCAACCTGAGCTAAAAGGATGTGAGACAGTGAACCCATGCAAACACACACACACACACACACACACACACACACACACACACACACACACACACACACACACACACACACACACACACACACATTGTCCCTCAGGAGGCTGGCGCTGCAACCGTCTCTCTGTGTCTGTAAAATGTGTTTCTCTCCTCGTGGCTCTCTATCAAAGCCTGAGCAGACGTGAATATTCAATTTCCCAGCGCCTGGTGTAAAAGCCCTCCTCTTCATCAGCCTGCCGACTCGACAAGTTGGAACAGAGAGAGCGGTGGGAAAGTTCAATCCAGAACTTTCAAAAGAGGGGTTGGAAAAATCCAATTTTGCACTTCTTGCAAATTCCCCTCTCTCTCCACCAACATCCCCCCCCCACTGCCTGTGCCACCGCCGCCATCCCGCCTCCCTCCACAACTCCCCGAAATGCTAATGTGTAGCCTAAAGAGGGGAGAGAGGGAGCTGTTCCTCTGCTGGAGCGTGTCACGTTTTGCTGTTAATTGCCTCTTCTTGGCGAGCTCTGGCCTCCAGTCCTGCAGCTTTAACAGTCCGCTGCAGCTGCATTGTGACGCCGCCGTGTGTACTTAGTGCTGTTTCCCTTTTTTATTTTGAAGCGGCCCGCTTGGAGAAGCTCCAGCTTTGCATGGGTAAACACAGGAAGGAAAAACACAAACATCAGAGACAGAATGAGAGAAACGCACACGGAGGTGTGCGGGGGCGGAGTCACATCCATTTTTTTTTTTTAAATGTGCTTTGGCGGTGTCAGTGTCAGTCTGTGCTCGTAGGCGTTAAAAAGGTTTCAGAATTAAGAGATGTGCAAATATTCAGAGGCGTAAACATCACACACATGCTTAGCTCCAGTGAAAGTACAGATACAATCTTATAAAGGGGCCGGTGAAAGTCAGAGAACTGATTCAGCGTCTTGACAAATGTCAAAGTCTCGCTCTAGAAGACGCTCCAATCATTTAACAGACTCCCACTGAGGGACATTTATCCCACTGTTTCTGTGCAGAGACGACTGAACCTCGCCTCATTTTTGGAGAATATCAAAATCAAGTTGTTCTGATCGAAAGAAAATGTTTTTTTTAGGGACTCAAAAATGATATTAAACTTTACTGTGATGGGAAAATCAGGAGGAGACCCGGATGCCTCTCCTATTTGAACGCTAACCCATGTGGCTGCAAGTTCCCCCTTTGTGTCGTCTTGATACATTTGTCAGGTTGTTTTCATCAAGTTTTTTTTTCTGTTGTGTGTGATATGCATCCGCTAAGCTCAAGCAATAAGCCTTTTCTGGAAATGTGAGGAGTACAGACATGTGTGAAGGAAGGCAGTAAGAGTTACCTGAAGACCTGGACGAGGGACGTTCTTTAGTTGTCCTCTGCACCAAAGCATTGTGTTCTGTATCAGTGTGTGTGTTTGTGTGTGTGTGTGTGTGTGTGTGTGTGTGTGTGTGCGTGCGTGTGTGTGTCATTACCCTCCTCCTCTCAAGTTGTCTGAGCTCCATCGGAGTGTGACACGGCCTCAGAAAACTCACCGCGAGGATTTCATTAGTCTTCTGGAGTGAGCACTCGATACGTAATTAATTAACCGCCGTTTAATCCTCCATTTCTTCTCACAATCGCCGCGGCCTGCACATCAATGCTGCCCATCTGAGTCCTCACCGATTGGATTAGTGCTGCCTTGTGTTGTGTATTGTGCCCGAGTGTAGAGCTTGATTAGATGGGAGGACTTGACCCCGCCCACTCGGAAACCCGCACCTTTAAACAACAGCATCATCACCCCTCGGTGTCTCATCCTGTGCTGTCACTTTAACAACTCTTATGCGTTGTATCTGTTCGCTAGCGTGCAGAATTCCCTGCACTCACATGTGTCCGTGTTTGTGTATTTTTTTTTTTTTTGTGTGTGCATGTGTGTGTGTGTGTGTGTTTCTGTGAGCCCTTTGGAAAGTGGCGGCGCACAATGCTGCTCCAGTTGAGAGCAGATGAGTTTGATGTGATTGTTTGCGGCAGCATGGCCTGCAGCCGAGAAACTAGCGAGCTAGATGATTACATGATCTAAAGAGGGAGAGAGAGAGAGATGAGTGAGGGGGGGGGGAAGGGGCAGAGAGAGTGACGTCAGA